AGTGACTTCAATCTACAGGAATGAGGATGTTGAGATGGACCGGTCTTACCTGACTGGACCGAACCAGAAGCCTGAAGGGCAATATAACTAGTACCTGTATCGGTGAAGATAAGAGAACAGCGCCTGCAATGGTACGTGCACGTACTGAACAGGCCTTAGGATCACCCAATCACAAGGGCGCTGCAATTTGAATCTGAAGGGGACGGCCGGGTGGAGCCCCACAGAGAGGTGCCGGGACGTGATCAAGGAAGACCATGTCGAACCAATCCCAAGGCAGAAGATGCAGCCTATAGAAAGAAATGGAGGCGACGATCAAGAAGTGAGGACAAGGCTATTGCTAGAGAGAAGAGGACGAAGTAAACAGATGGAAGGTAGAAACTAAGGGACACCAAATGCTGGTAAGGCCGATAAGGAACTTAGGACAGGAGGAACAGGAACAGTTGCGCTTTTCATTTTAACATAGGAGCCTTGATACGTTAATTGGTGATTTGGGATGTTGTGTGATCGTAGATGACAGGGAATGACAGCAAATGACGGGGGATGGTAGGGTTCTAGCTGGAGTGAATGCGATAAGTTTTTTTTTNNNTTTTTTTTTCCTGTAACCACCGTCAGGAGAAGTAATATAAGCACAGCCAGACAGATTCTCCATTTCTCTGGATTGTAGCTGAAACCTCCGGATTTGAGTCGCTAGACAAGAGTCATTGCTCATGAGAACCTACTTTGCAGGCACAGCATGACCCCCTGGCCTGGCAACCACACCCACTTGCTAGTGGGTCAGTAGATGCCATCACCAAAACTAGGTCAGTTTGTAGTGTCAGAACCTCGGGACGATTTGTTCCTTTAACAGTGGACGCCATGAGCCGAATTAGTTTTCGCGCACCCTCGGAGATGGCGTGTGCTGAACTATACCTTCACCCATACGTAACCGAACTCTACTATTAGCTACGATATGTTCTGGTGGCAGCCTTCTACTTTCATTTTTCAACATCGTGTTCTGCCCGTAGGGTATTGAGCGAACATCTTCCAATTTTCTAACAGAAAACACAATTACTATCCTCATTTCAGCAAGAAATACTTAAAAATGTAGTCGAATCTGCTGTTCTTGCAAAAGAAAAGAACAGGAATGAAAAGGATCAGGATTACGACGATTTTTTCGAGTAAGCTACCTCAACAGAAGGATTTTAGTGCCTCCAAGCGTTGCGTTACCTTTTTCATATATGTGCTCTGATATTTCCTCAGGGAAGTTTCTTTGCCCAGATATCATAGGTTTACTCTTCTAAATACATGATTAGAGCTACCATCTGAAGGATAGAATCCATTCCTTTCGAAATAGTTGTTGTACTACCACAAAAGTAGGATGCACCAAGTGCTCAGGGTGCGTATCTGGTGCGGCATGCAGTGTGAAGCGTACATAAGTGTGTACTGAAGCTTCGTAGGACTCAGTCGCCCTCGATTTCCCCACAATTTAAAAACACAGATTTGAGATCAGCGTTTGAAACCACCTATGGCGTCTTGAATGGTATCTGTGACCAAGTATCCTTCCCTTGTAAGAGAGCACGGCACTTCTCCAGCGCTTGTGTGTGTGTGTGACAATAAAGAGTTTACACATTGAACGACAGCTAATTAGACACTTTTCCCACAGTTTCGGATAAAACAGATGTAGCGAGCCAGTAAAAAGTGCTAAAGTGAAGATCACTGAATCTGACTAATCCAAGGGCTCGCTGCTCCCGACGTTGCGCCCTGACCCAGCAACACCAAACTGCTTCATAAATTCGTGTCAAACTAAGAAGTTCTTGAAAAGCAAATGTCTTTTCAAACTGAAGTGTAGTGCGGATTTATTTTTGATAAAGGAGTTCCGATTTCCAGTGGTGAATCATCACCACCACCGCCCAGACGGAAGACGACTTTCGAACGTCTCGAAGAAGAGGTTAGACAGCAAATACTTTCTTGGCTTATCCAACCAGTAGCTTAAACCAGCAGTAAACACAACAAATCGAGGTTGAAGAAAGTTAACGCTCAGACCACTCGTATTCCAGACACCTTTGACTATGGACAAGTCCAACATCGTTCTTCTAGGACCGTCCGGAAGTGGAAAAACCTACCTAACGCAGTGTCTTGCCCGGCTTCTCGACGTTCCTATAGGTAAAGATCTGATCGAATGTGTTTGCTAGAAGGTAGAACCTCCCGTTTAGCAATGTGTGACTGCACTACTTTAACCCAAGCCGGGTATGTCGGTGAAGATGTGGAAACGGTGATTCAGAAATTACTCGTCAATGCTCATGGCAGTGTGGAAAGAGCTCAGGTAGGTTATGTTTTTGTCACTGAAACTCGAATGCAGTTCCCACACACGGGAGTAGCTTACTGAACTTCTATTTCAAACTGGAAAGAGATTTCAAGTCATAGCCACCTTGGACAGGCATCAGGTCGCCAATTCCTACGAAAGCGTGACTGAGCAAACTCCTCCTGACACAGAGTAAGATGCTATGACGGCCTACCATTCGACTCAGTCCACCCGTGCTTCGCTACGCCGTCTCGCTTTCTATAAACTCATAGTAACAGACTGATTCAAAAACAGTGAATGTCGGGTTCTAGGCTAAGAGGCCCTCTTTCTAGAGAACCTCCACAATAGCGTAAACACAGGACAACTACTTTCTATTGGGATTCATGTAACAAGGGACTATTTCTACAAGGGACTCTGCAACAACATGCTAGCCAACTATGCCCGGCTTTCCCTTCATTACTTGTTTCAGCAAGGGATCGTCTTTCTTGACGAATTTGACAAGATTCACTCATCGAGCGATCCAATACATTCCATCGGAAACCGCGATGTCAGCGGAAGAGGTGGGCATTGGTTGAGATTCTCATTTGAGTGGACAAAACATTTGTCATAATAATTGAGTGACTTCAACTGAAAATGAATTTGAAAAAGACTCGATAGCAGTGGGTCTGTAAAAGCGTAGCATGGAATTAGAAGCTCTAAAATTTTCAGGCGTACAACAAGCTCTTCTGAAACTTGTCGAAGGAACCGTGGCGAAAGTGAAACTGCCAGGACAAATGGGACAAAAGGTTTAATTAAAGTTCTCATAAAAACGCATATTAAGCGTAGTTAAGTTGCTCTAATGTCAATGTTGCTTTATACAAGACACCAGTTGGGTTATGCACACTAACGCGTGCACCATGCCATACCCTCGGGTGTGGTGCGTTAGGAACGAAATGGTCGCGCCGCGGTGATAGGGGCGTCGCGCGCGAAGGAATGTAGCAGGATGCAGCGGTAGGCAAGAAATACAAGAACAAAAGTACTAATAGTAGAATTATGCATAAAATAATGGTCGCATATCGATTGAGCTGTATGAAGNCGCGACAGCCGCGTGCGGCAAATCGACTATCCAAAATAGTTCCTAACGCCCGTCTCCCATGCCCACTTCCGCTTACCTACGACTTGTTAGAGGACCAATATAGCAGTATTGGTTGACTTCCCATTTCCAACTATTTCCTCACCACGCTCACGCGACATTCACACTCGTCATCGCGCGTACGTGACTTTCGGGACACGCACAAACCGACCCACAAACAGGCACACAAAGTTACCGCTTTATATATAGAGAGACATCGTGCCGTACTGCCACTAAGTCCATGGTCATTCGCACGTCGTTCTGGGAACTTGACTATGCTGGAGTGCTACCTTTCAAGGATCTTACTCAATGCATTTTTCAGCTGTACGTGTAGCCTTGGATCCTGCCTGTCATGTGCAAAATACTTTTAGCGCACTTTCATACTCCGACACATTTGGAGATGCTCATTTTGTAAAAGCAATAAAGAATTGCGATAGCGTTCATTGTATTATGATCACTAGTTCAGTAAGGTTAACATGACGTATGAGTCGAGTAATTGCGGTTACAATAGGTTGACGTCGACACCACGGATATCCTGTTTATCGCATCGGGTGCGTTCTCGAAACTTGAACAAATCGTTGCACGAAGAATCGATCAGCGGTTAGTGATATCTTGAAGAGGTTCTCAGTCCTTCAGATGATCCCATGGCTTCAGAGTTCTCGGTTTCGGCACCACCTACGCTAATTTGGCAGAAGATCTGACCTCCAATGATGAAACGATCGCTGCTGAAAAGCGTAACGAAGTGCTCAAACAGACGGAACCTTCCGATCTCATACAGTAGGTTCCTAGCAGAGGTTTCGGACGAAAGGAGACGCGGCACGCTGTTTGGGCTAGCTGTTTTTCTGCAGTATATGATAGCATAAAAGTGCCAGAAAGTAGCTGACTGGAAAAGCCTTTATTAGTTAGTGACCATAAAATAAAATAAAACAGTGTACGGGTCTGATGAAAGAAGTAACCGCAGTTTGTGCCTTCTTGTCTACGATTACTGGAGTAAACCAAAAGAGCGCTTTTCCTATGTATTTCTGTTGGTACCAAAAGGAAAAAAAAGCAGCATCATGCAAAAGAGTAAACGAGAAAAGATAGTATAAAGAAAGCTTTTAAGACACTCTCACTTCTCCTCTCAAGCGTAACCTATGAAAATTGTCATAACCAATTATTTAGGTTTGGAATGGTGCCAGAGTTAGTAGGACGTTTCCCAGTGTTGGTGCCCTTCCACGCTCTAGATGAAAAGATGCTGATTCGAGTACTGGAGGAGCCTCGCAACAGCCTCATCTCACAAGCGCAGCGTTTCTTCGCCATGGACAATATACAGCTGAGGTCAGCTTTTCTCAATAAGAAGCAACTTCGATTTTCTTATCCTCACACCATCGGCCCTTAGTAAAGAACCGCTCTCACAGCGGTTAAGGTTGGCACTTGGGTGAAGGTACCCTCAAATACCAAATTGGAGACGCACTCTCATGCCTTCTCTTCATACTCTCGTTCTTGATTATGGAGTATATCCATTCAGTCGGCGGTTCACTTATACTCCCGGTCGAAACTAGTGGCATACTGCTGCTTCGACCAATGGTCATTACTTCAGTCCCACATGATTCTGCCCGAAAAGGTCTAAAAGTGCTCCTCCACCGGACCACCTGTCAGTTATAGTAGGTCCACTTAAAAGTTGTTATCTCAGATTCACTCGAGAAGCAATAAACGAATTAGCAAGGAGAGCTGCTCAGAGAAAAACTGGTGCTCGGGCTCTCAGGTGATTACCACATCATGCTTTTCAAAACATGTACAATGCATACGGTTTAGTTCCACAATATTCAGGTCCATTTTGGAGAACGTACTACTGCAGGCAAAGTTCGAGTGTCCTGGGACGGGCGTTCAGGCTGTCGTCATCACAGGTGCTACTGTACGTGGCGAATCCGACTACATGACATCAGACAGTAACTCGGATAGCATTGTACCGACTGATTAACCAGGACCTGAATGAATTCGGTTACATCTGTAGAATACTCGTTAACATACTCTTAATAAAGACGATCTTAATCTTAATAATCGATTTTCGAGGAGGCATGAAAACTTTTTGGAGAGTGCTAGAAGGTAAACCGAGCTCTCTCTTGTGTACAGTGTGACTTATTCCCTTCACGATTTGATCTCCTATAGTGCGTTTCACAATCATAATATCACCCTCGATTTTTGCGATTCTAAAGAGAGCAACCAGAATAGAAGTTTTTAGCAAACAGCAATAGTTAATGATCCATATCTCCTCCTTGTTTAAGAGCAACATCAAAGTCCAAGCTTCAATAACCGCCCGCTTCAGCTCTTGTGTGCTCTGGAACTGACGTTTATTCGCACAAATCTGTCGACTATTATGCTACAGATATTTTCCATCTTCTTGAGATCGGGACTGCAGGCTGGCCCGGACAGGACGCAAATGTGTAGCGTTGCAGCCACTCAATCGTTGCACGGCTCACGTAAATGGAGGTGTTGTCTTGTTGAAAGACATAGTTGAGATGACGGCGACGGCTTAGAAAGGGTACTGGATGATGCTCCAAGACATAGTGGTGTTGATCCATGGAATCCACTCTGCAGCCCACTAAGGCTATATCCAACGCGATATTGCAGAATGCATGCACACCATAAGACTTCCTCCACCGAAATTGCTACGGCTGAAGTAGACTGGTTACTTTCTCGACTCGCGCTAGTAGCACGTGTTTCCGTCAGGACCGTTCAAGTTGAACTTCTTTTCATCCGAAAAGACGAGCTGAATGGAAATCATTCATAGTGAGGTTTTGATGCAGACCTACCTTTGCCCAATCTCTCTCTAAATTCATCTTTGCAAATTCGAGTCGAGCCTCTCTGCGGCGATCGGTGATTTGTGACGTCTTCTTCACTGCTTGCCTGGTGATGTTATCGCATCTTCTTACTGCTCTCTAGACTGTAGTTTTCGGCACAGAGAGGTTCATTTTCGATCGTGTCTGCTTCGAGGAGGACGTAGTGTTGGAAACGCCCTCAGAATCTTCCGTTCGTATTCCGCAGTAATCTTGCATGGTTGCCCACAGCCGGTGTTATATCTAGGGGCACCAGGGCTCTCCAGAAATCTTTGAATGGTTCAGAGGAATCTCGCTATTTGGCTAGAGGTGGCTCGAGTACTGAGCCCAGCTTCATGATGAGCCTTCTCATCAGAGGAAAGCAGACGACCAAGAGCCATGTTGACAGCCAGGTTCAGAGATGCATTCGCTACACATGCTTACCTTTATGAGTATCTTCAAGCACAAAATTTGCTCTCTTCCATGAATAATTGTTTACTTTCTCAAGGTGACCTTATAATAATGAAACGGTGCAGAAACCGATAAACTGTTCAAAAAATGTTCAGAAAAGTGCAGCTGCGACTAAAAAAGGATACCTTGGTTATTCGTGCTGGGGACCCGTTCATGATGCTAGAAAAAATTCTGAATGATTGCTTCTTTAGAAAGTGCAAAATTTGAGGGTGACCTTATAATTATGAAACGCACTGTATATGGATCAGACCCATGCTTTTGTTTTTCAATAATTGGGTTGCCAGGGGGACAGAACATACGTGCAACCGGAGATGCGCGCGGCAAATTGCGCGACGAAGTTCGTGGCAGTTTGAAGGGCTCTACCGCCCAAACCACTCATCAGGACCCGGTGAACCTTTATCTACTCTACTCCAAATTCCCCAATGATAAGCGCTAAATTCGTTCAATTTCCACAAACTAGGAGGCGCATCTCCGGACGCGCACGAACTTAGCCGCACATCTCCGTACCGCGCTTTGTACCAATAGCCGGGTTGCTATTGTTTTTAGTGGACTAGATGAGCAAGAAATGTGGTAAAAGTAGCTTCCATGTGTGCTTAACCAGAACATTATTATTCAGTTCACTTTTTTGCGTGACTGCAGTTTTGTGCCACGATTCTCGAAGAAAATCCATCGATGAGAAGCTGAACTCGTACTCGGATAACGTCGTGACTAGTTAGCCAATGTTGCTTGGTTTGAGTGAGAACGTTGTCACCACTACACTCAAAAGGTCGTAGGATACGATAGAATCGTCATCGAAGAAATTTCTAGGCTGGAAGGAAAAAATGCAACACAAATTCATATATTAGGTTGTAACATAAGTTCGTAGAGTTTTTTCACAAAAATTTATTTGAAAAAATAATAATAACTATAATAAAGAATTATTCAATAAATTATTATAATAATCAGTCAATTCACGAGTTATATGGCTACCATCTTCCTTCAATAGTGCCTCAGATGCTCTTCGTCGAATTCTGCAGCTCGTCCGCTTCGAGGCGTTCCTTTAAGGTCGAAGTCGCCATTTTTAAACTTTGCAATCATTTTTATGCAGTAGACACCTTCCCCGTACACACCGCATTGTCAGGAGCGGCTTCGGCTGCTTTTTGACCTCGATGAAAAGCAAAAAAAAGCAGATGTCGAAAATGCTGATTTTTTCCTCCTGGATATTCCATTTCTGGGCCAGAAAAAAGACGAACAATTAAATTGTCCAAAAAAGTAA